TTTTTCACTCTCTCTCCTTTTTCTCTTTTGTAAAAACTGTTCATACAATTTGGCATTATGCTCCATAGAGTAGCCCATATAATTGTTTATTAATAAAAATATAATCTTTAACCTGAGCTAGCTAGGCGCGTCTTGGTCGCTTTGAAAACATGCGTGAAGAATGTCCTTGTCTCTCTGGTGCTTTTGTCTCCCGTGAACACTTTTTGTCATGTCAGGCACTTGACCCAGCATTATGGGATGCACTACCTATTGCTCCTGCTGGTGTTCATCGTCTTGATTATGCTCTGAATCAGCTGCCAACTAAGGCTTCCTCTGGTCCTCCTCCTTTTTGGTCTGCTTTGCTACAACTCATTATGGCGGAAAAGTTAGTTACAACACGTACAATTTTTGTTCGTAAAATTACCAATTTTTACAGCAGAATGGTTGTTTGAGAAATAACTGGCATCAGTTTTTCGACCTACAAAGTTGTTCGAAATGTTACCAAATTATTTGCACGCTTTTCGAACAACTTTAGTAACAAAACAACTAAATTTATCGTTCGCTTTTCGAACAATATTAGCAACAAAACAGCAATAACTTGTTTACTTCTGGAACAACTTTGGCTACAAAACAACCAAGTTTTTTGGTGCTTTAGTTACCAACATTGTTCGTAATGTCACTTATTGTTTTAGGATTACTAGAAATTAGACGCTTAATATAAATGGAAAAAAAAACGATACTTTTATTGAGAAATAGCAAAAGAAAAGAAGCACTACTTGAATCTAATAAAAACAAATATATAAAAGCGAGGCAAGAGTGTTAAATGAGCAATTCGCTTTGTCATTCGGAATTGAGACAATACCGATAGACACAGAAAATAATTTGTATGTAGCATATGGTCTTTTTAATAAAAAAAAAGGAAAAAACCACCATCTTGCCATCCATTAAACTTACCTAACAAAGTGCATGCCTTGTACGGATAAATAGTCAATTCCTTTAGAAGGGCATTCTTTTTTGAGAAAAAAAAAGTTAGTTTTGAGTATATTGAAGGTGTGTAATAACATATCAGACTTACTATAAATCAAGAGACAGCAAGAACTTGTTTTGGAATCTAGAAAATAAAAGGCGCTATGTTAGCTTTCAAGTAGCAAAAATAGATTAAACATACTTTGATTTTAAATGGAAGCAGACTAATCTCATCTAAACATATAGAACAAACAAACTAATTGAATTAGAACAAGGCAATGTCAAAACTCTTTTCCAAAACAACACTCACCAGTACCGGGACCAGGCGATGTGACATTTCATGCCAAAACTTGGAACAAAAAGAAACAAGTAGCTCTTATATGTTTACTTACACTCTAACTCTGGTTTCGACTTTTGTTTTCTATCTATATAAAGGCCCAATAGTATATCAATTTCTGTCTATGGCTATGTTAGAGAAAAAGAAACTTTACTGTGAAAAGTGCGTTCTTCCATACCAATCAAAGAGAAGCGCAGCAATTCTTCAGATTGTTAAAAAAGTGCTGGAAGTACTGTCTAATTCTTAAGATGAGTAAGCCCATGAGTCGATGTTATGCAGTCATAAGGTTTCAGAGAGTTTAAGCTTCTGGATGTAGGTTGAATTCAGGAGCTGTGGACTTTATCTATAATACAAACGTTTAAGAGAAGGTGATGGAAAAAAAATTGTTTTATTATTTAAGGTCGTGACTATTTTTTGTTACTTCTTCTTGTACGCTTAGACTTGGCTGATTGGCTTTTGTCTTCATTGTGTTTGACCCTTTTCTTAGGTTGAGAAGAGGGAAGAGGTGGAGAAGGAGAACAAGGACGACAGTTGTTTTCCATTCCGAAGAGATGTCATCTTCAGAATCCTCAAATTCATCACCACAATATAGGTTTGCGTATTCCAAAGAAGGCTCCTCACTTTGAAGAGATTCAACACTAACTTGGTTTTCACTGTATAGTTTTGATTCTTGTTAGGCATTCTAAAGTTTCATTGAATGCATGTTCTGCGTTTATTATACCTGATCCTTGAGTTATTCTCTCTTTCAACAACAGAAGCCTTATTTCTTGCTCTATTACTTCTGTGCTTGTGTGTCTCGAAGAGCAGTAGACCGGCTGCCCAGGAAAGCTGACATCTTTGAAGAGGAAAGGCATGAGTAGCTGCATTGCTTTCAAGCTTAAATGTGTATTTTGCGATTAGAGCAGAAGACACTTCAGACCATAAAGGCAACACAGCTACTTTGTCATTCTTCTTCAAAGCTTTCAGCAGCTCTAACTCCATTTCATTGTGGGTATTTTTTGCGATTGTTCTGAGGATCCCGTAGTCATTCTCATTCACTTTATCCTCAATTAGAAGATCAGTGATATTTTTTTCTTTCTTGAATAAGTTGATCATGGCAAGCAAACGCAACCGTGGCGTAACATATGTATGCTTTCCATGAGAGCCGAATGCTTTTGTTGCCTCCTCAAGTACTCTAGGAGTGTCTCAAAAGCCCATCAAGTTTAGATTAAGAGAATTGACAATACCGCCTTCTCTTGCTGCATTTTTCAGGAAGAAATAAAAGTTTATACATATCTTAGAGAAATAGCTTGTTTTTTTTTTTTACCTTGTTGAGCTGCTTCAAGAACTTCACTGTTGATCTCATTACTATCACTTTGGGCAAAAGAGGGTGCTAATAAATGCATCAATCCCTCGAGTAATTGAGTCTGTGTTTCGATTTTTTGTTCGAGTTGGGAAACTTGTTGCATTTGAGTGATTTTGTAAATAGTCATTTGGTTCATATTGTAAGAAAGAAAGACAATTGCAGGAAAGATAAAAAAAAAGGTAGCTAAAATAAGTAACTCTTTTTATAAACACGTGTATTAGTCAGAAAGTAGCGTTGCTGCGGCAGTATTAGTAACAATCTGCTTTCTAAGAGTTTTTGGAAGGTTCTGTCAAGACTTACTACGCATTCAAATTTGACAGCTGGCACTAATG